CTACTACTACTATAGACCTTATCATCAATATCATTATCATTGTTGCTATTACCGCCTTTACAATTGTGAGGTCATCATCATTTAAATTGCTACAGTAGTACTACTGCGGCTGATGCTATACATTATCACTGCCCTTATCATGAATCATTACGTTTATCATCATCATGACTTATCATTGTTTTTCTTACTATTATCAGCATCATAACCATTATTATTATGCCATTATTATCATGATTTTTTCATTGTTACCATTGATATGTTAGTGGTGCTATCTTCATAATTACTATTTTATTGCCATTATAATCATCCTCATTATCATAATCATAGACATTTTCATTATCATTATCGATATCATTATCATTACTATTACCATTACCATCATCAACAACATTACCATTATTATCAAAAACATTATCCAAACAAATATAAAAAAAGAGATATATTTTTTTTTTTTTCAAGATTATGAAAACGCTGACATCCGCGGACACATTTAAGCTCATCTAATAGGTCTTTAGATTTGTGTTGCCGGCAATAATGAACCAACTAATTGTAATAATTGTACTTTCGGGGAGGCTCTCACACCACATGCCAAGGCCAGCAGTGTCTATGGTGAGGATGAGACCGCCTGCGCTTGCTATATAAGCCTCGGCGGCCGGTCGCTCTGCACCAGAAATCTCGCTGCAACCAGCAAGACACACGAGCCAGTAAGTGACTAGGAGGTCCAGGCATTTGCTTACGTGTCTATTATATATATATGTGTGTGTGTGTATGTGTACGATATATATAAATATTATATATTATATATATATATATATATATATATATATATATATATATATATATACATATATATATATATATAATATATATATATATATATATATATATATATATATATATATATATATATATATATATTATACATGTATATATATATATATATATATATATATATATATATATATATATATATATATATACACACACACACACACACACACACACACACACACACACACACACACACACATATATATATATATATATATATATATATATATATATATATATATATATATATATAATATTTGTGTGTGTGTGTGTGAATGTGTATATGCTTATGTGTATATATGCATACATATACACGCATTCATACATATATCCATACACGTACTGACTGCAGATTTCTTTTATATTTACTTTTCAGGAATTAATGCAATGCATCATAATGAAAGAATCAGTATTACTGATTTGTTCATTGCAATATTATGTTGATTCCAATATGAATAGACATTGCAATAATTAAATCCTATATATATCATGCACATATAAGAATTTCTGCTGCAAGATATAAAGGGATATTGTGTGTTTCGTTGAATATTTTTACTATACCAAATAATTTCTTTCCTCTTAATATGGTTTTTACAAAGGAATATGAGAATCTGTTAACATTGCAGTATGAGTAGATATATCCTCTTCAGGTGAACAACTGCACTATGCTCTTTTGCCATCTGCATGGTTTGTCACTCCTCCGTCACATAAACTCTTGTAGCAGCAAATTTTCTTTCTTCCAATAACAATGATAATTTCACTGTAATCACCCCCCCACCCACCCCTCCCTCCATCGCAGACGCACCAGCATGAACTCCCGCGCCATCATCGCCCTGCTCGCCTGCGGCCTCCTGGCCACCACGGAGTCCACCATCATCTTGGCCGCGGGGACGACGGCAGCAACCGCCGCGGCCGCAGGGTTGGCCTACCTCGGCCTCGGCGCCCTGGCCGTGATCAAAGGCGCTATCATCGGCAACGCCATCGCCAGGGGCAAGAGGGACGTCACCTCGCAGGAGGAGGATCAGGCCGTTGAGGCGAGTTACTCCAAGTCTTGCGAATGAGGGTGTGGCGGATTTTGATGATATCTGAGTAAATTTACCCTCTCTTGCCTCGGCTAATGTCCCTCTTATCCGAGCAGGTAGCCTTGGATGTGGCCCAGCAGATCGACTCAGCTGGCTGCGTGGCCAAGCTGCTGTGTGAGCTCGAATCCTTGCCCGCAGACCAGCTGTCCCCCGCCATGGCCGCCCTCAAGGCCGCCTTCGGCAACCCCGAGAGCGCCGAGTTCCTGAAGCTGAAGACCTCCCGCGGCGTCTACGCCTTGGCTGCCTCCGTCGGCGCCAAGGTGGCCAAGAACGACCCGAAGGCGTGCGAGCGCGTCTTCGAAACCTGTCCTCTTCCCAGAGACGAGCTCTTCTTCATGCTGGAGACCGTCCTTGCTTGCTGAAGACTTTGGTGACAAGGGTTCTCTGCTTCCGGTGCATCAGCAGTTGAGTTGGAGGTTAGCTGCCAGGAGCCCTGGCTGGAACCTCTCCAGACTCGCTTACTTGTGTGTTTCTGGTCGATGCCTCCATTCACGTTTTTAGATGAATTGATTTTTTAAAGTTCTGTGTAATTCGTAGTTTCAAAATATAAATGAATCTTCCTTGGAGAAATAAAGGATAAAATTACATTTCGCATAAATTTACTTTACTTCTAAATGGACCATTATCTCTTACTGTAAGTCATAGAAATGAAAATGCTTTGACTTCTCTCTTCCTAAATAACTTACTCAACATATGAAAGAACTTGACAAGTTTAACAAAAAGTGCAGCATGGATAAGCAGCACACATACTCCTATTCGAAAAATTGTATTGGCAGAAATAATTTTATAGACAATTCTTCTATTTAACTAGTACTCCCTTCTTGAAATATAGAAACATAGACTGGGTATTGGATTTATTCACACTAGAATAAAAAAATATCGCTATAGCCAAAGACTACAGTACAATATAGTGGGATGATGCTAGAACGCAAACATAAAGACAAAAAGGAATATAAGCATAAAGCTGGAACAAAGATGACCAAGAACACTGGAACAGACACGGGGGCGAGAACAATGGAACTAAAACAGAGGGACACAGTAGAACACATACAGAAACAATAATACAATACCAAGAACACAGAAACAGTAACAATAGACAGGTAATTGCAGCAAAGAAGAAACCGGAGAAAAAAAGACAAATGAAAGAAATTAACAGAGACAACAAAAACTATCGAAAGCAACACGTCGAAGAAAGTCCAAGGAAGAATCTCTGCAACAACTACGCACTGCGGCTACTCGGAGGCTATGTTTAGTCCCAGCACACTGTCCATCATTCGACAATAGAAGTGAACAAAACTCTGTATACATAAAAAATATAACACGTTTTCAAATATAATGTACGGTGATTAGCCGTACATAAATATACATATATATATATATATATATATATATTATATATATATATATATATATATATATATATATATATATATATATATATATATATTATATATATATATATATATATATATATATATATATATATATATATATATATATATATATATAATATATATATATACATATATATATATAATATATATATATATATATATATATATATATATATAGATATATATATATTATATATATATATATATATATATATATATAAATATAATAGGAATTAAAAAAAAATAGTATTATGAATTACTGAAAGAATAAGATTATCATAGTGTTATGTCACAGTCCAAGATCACAACATCAGGCTCCCTCCATTCTTTCCGTACGTCTATGAAATTTAGTTATATACCAATGAGGCTGCTGTACACGTAGAGGTAAGGTTGTTTACAGAAAAATACAAGGATTTGTTCAATTAATTAGTTAAAGGTGTGCGTGTGTGTGTGTGTGTTTGTTTGTGTTTGAGGAAGGGAGTGTGTATGTGAGTGTCTATGTCGATGAGTAAAAGAATGTATATATACCTACTCATATCAGTCTTGTCTTAGCTTACTGCAAATCTTACGTTATTTCTCCCAATGCCTATTCTCCTTCTATTCAATTCCTTCCATTCTCAGTCTAACCTTCTCATTTCTTTCCCCTCTTTCTTTTAGAACAGACCTCTCTCTCTAGTTAGTATTTTATTTACCTCTCCATCTTAGTTGATCTGGTATATTCCTTCATTCCCTTTAACCAAGCAAGAATTTATTTTAAAGATAAAGCCCCTGGCTATTGCTTAATCTACTTCGCGTGAAATTCTATAAATGAATTGTCAAAATTGAGTGTCAGGTAATCAAGTCAAGTAATGAAGTCAAAATTAAGACAATTAATTAAGTCAAGTAATGAAGTCAAAATTAAGTCAATTAACTGGGTCAAGTAATGAACTCAAAAGTAATTGTCAATTAATTATGTCAAAATTAATCATGTCAATTAAGTAAGTCAAGATTATAGAAGTCAAAATGTAAGCATGTATATATCGGCGACGTCATAATAATCACCGAGCCCAGACTAATTTTTCTTGCGCGGGGAATATTAAATTTTTTCATGCGCGGAAAACATGATTTTGTCTATGTTGCGCGGACGGATCTGCGAACGGATGATGAAACAAGGACGCGGAAAGGTCGAAAGAATTTTATGCGCGGAAGACGATTTCAAAAAGAACTCAGCGTGGGCGGAAAGTTACCCGAGAACTACATTTTCGCGGACAGAATTGGACCAAACGCTACAGTCTGGCACCAAGCGACAGGATAGTGAGTAATTATTAATTTCTTCGTCAGTTTACTAAGTTCACTAGTTTATTTACTTTTACCTGAAGAAAATATTCTTAATTATGTAAAGTTTAAATGGAAATGATCAGAACGTGAGTGTTTGGAGGACATTGATGTAATTTGAAAAAAAAGAAATTTTGGAAATATAAAAAAGTAAACAGTTAGATAAAAAGAAAGAAAACAAATGATGGATGACTTGATCTATTAAGCTGGAAATGGTGACTTGTAATGTCCTGAATATCTTTGTTATAACTTTCATAACCACTATTGATATCACAGTTATTGTTGCAAAGGGGTAGAGAAAAGGGAACGAAGATTGGTACGGATTACTACTTAAGCAACGTTGAAATCCCCAGCACACTTATATGGAATGCCTATTCGTATATCCGTAGGTGTATCTTTGGCAAAAAGTTAAGGTAAGGCATCCGTAAGTCATATATATTTGAGAAATGAATGTTGGCGTTTCCTTCCTTTTACTCTAATCCACCTGTCCTATTACTGAATTTTATATATATATATATATATATATATATATATATATATATATATATATATATATATATATATATATATATATATATATATATTATTTCAGGCTGATCCAGATTAGCGGGCGATGACGATGCACATGAGCATTTCATGAATCACTTGGAATTTAAGCCCCGTGTGATGTGTTTGGAATTGAAAACTACCGAGTAATGATTCGAAGCATAAGGTTCACCTTTGCATGTAAGTAATTTCTGCAAATAGTTACAGATTTGCATTTATCGTCATTGACAAAAGCCGTCAGTCTCCCTCATCAGAACGTTATACATAATAGTGCACACGCGTACCATGTAATTACTAGGTGTTCGACTGTGCCGTTTCTATAGTTTATTTTAAAGCTTCACCGTACACTATTTCATTTCTTGAGCGATTTGGATATTGATGTTTCATATCGGTCGGATTAAAACGATGCAAAAGTGCTAGTCATAACGTTTCTATTTAAGGGTTTGAAATATTATCTGTCAATCTTTTCACTAGAGCCATCGGAAAGCAGGCACATCATCACACTCGACAGAATTAGAAGGAAAGATACCGCCCACCATGCACAGCGGCGCCCCCTCTTCCTCTTCCTCTCCTCTCTCTCTTCTTCTTCTTCTTCTTCTTCTTCTTGTTCCCATGGCGTCGATCATCATCTTAGCTGTGGCAATGAACGGCTGAAGATTTGGAGCTTGTTCATGTTAATATCTGAACGGTGTGTTCATACATACATACCTTCATATATACATACATATATATAAATACATTAATACAGATATTTTTTTCATGTATATGTGCGTATGTATGTGCGCACACAAACACACACACGATATATATATATATATATATATATATATATATATATATATATATATATATATATATATATATATATATATATACATACACACACACACACACACACACACCACACACACACACACACACACACACACACACACACATATATATATATATATATATATATATATATATATAATCATACATACACACACACATACACACACACACACACACACACACATATATATATATATATATATATATATATATATATATATATATATATATATTATATATTATATATATATATACATACATATGAGTATGCATACACACACACACACAGATATATTATATCTATCTATCTATATATATATTATGTATATTATGTATATCTATATGTTTACACAATATTTTTTTCATACACACACACACACACACACACACACACACACACACACACACACAACACACAACACATATATATATATATATATTATATATATATATACATAAACATACATACATATATATATACACATACATATACAATATATATACATATATACATATATATGTTTACATATATATATACATATACATGCATATACATACGTATACATATATCACGCACACGCACTCACACACACACACACACACACACACACACACACACACACAACATACATATATATATATATATATATATAATATATATATATATATATATATATATATGTGTGTGTGTGTGTGTGTGTGTGTGTGTGTGTGTGTGTGTGTGTGTGTGTGTGTGTGTGTGTGTGTGTGTGTGTGTAAATATACATACATAAGTGTTTGTACATATATATATATATATATATATATATATACCCATACACATACTCTCCTCTCCAATGACTGCCGTCACAGCGTATAGAATCGAGGCCTGGGCCCGGATTCACTAACGCACTTACGATGGTAAAATCACTGGTAACTATAGTTACCATGGTAACCAGACAGCGGTGGTATTCACTAACAACTTACCATCGGAGTTACCATGGTAAATTTTACCAGTGGTCAGAGCACTGGTAACTTCTTGGAAGACGATGTCATCATGTGTTATCTCGGCAAAAAATCAATATCTAAGCAAGGTTTTAGGTTTGTTTTTACACCTAATGTAACTAATATGATGGCAAACACATATCGCAATACGGGCATAGTGAAGAAGTACAAATTACACATGAAACTATCGACAATAAATTCACACAAATTCTCGTAAAATTATAGGCCTGTACCTTACTAGAATGCATGGAGTCGATAGATAAGTGAACTCTTAAAGAATTCTTTTCTGACATGATTATTACAAATGATATAGAAGAAAAACTACCTTGCTGATATATAAACTGGCAATACCAACGCTAAACGAGTATAGCAATTTCTGTGTCTGTCGGCATTGTGACAATAAACTCCAAAGTGCATGGGCAAGAATAAGCTTGAAATATTTCCTTTGACGACAGATAGCGATTACTAAAGAAATTGGTCCGGTTCTTTGTTAAACAATGATGAAAAATAAATAA